GGGGGGGGGGGGGGGGGGGGGGGGGGGGGGGGGGGGGGGGGGGGGGGGGGGGGGGGGGGGGGGGGGGTGAATGGTGTGCCCGCCCGCGGCTGGTCGTGACTGGTGGTCGTTGAACGTTGAAAATGCAAACACAGGCCCTTTCAGCTAAATCCCCCGCCTCTCCCTTGTCTACTACTGCTGGACAGTTTTCTCGGTGTACATCCGGTGGATCGGCTCGGAGAAGCTACGCTTCTGCCCGTGCGACCGTGTAGCAAGCACGCCGAGCATAGACTCGACCACTAGACACAGGTACGTGTGTACAAGTCGTTTTGTGAAAAGTGCTTGCTGCGGGGCAAGAACTCGCCTCGTGTGGTACAAGTACGTATCTTTTGCGGACGGTGGTTGTTCTGCAGTAGAGTCGCACACCAACGCACGGGGCCTGCATGTGGTACGCGCTCGAACCCAGTGGAATCACCACGCCTTTTGCCGGCATGAGGTTGCAGCTTTGTCGTTCCACAGGTCTCTGTCGGCTATGTAATAATGTAGAAACGCCGCTGCTGCTGCTGCTGTGGGGTCTCCCCTAAACCCTCGCACGATCCAGCAGCTGACTCTTTCCATTATTCTCCACAAGAGAGGGTGCATGTTAGGTCCCCGTATTGTCATGTGCAGTTTGTGTAGCGCAGCTTGGCTCGGTAAGCACGCAAGAAAGTGAGCTGGATGTACATGTCACCGAACTGCTTGGGTACACTTCGTTGAACTGCTGTATATTTATCGTGCACACACATCAGCAATGACAGGTGCATATTATAACTCCTCTGAAAAGTTGCGGGACAAAAAGAGCGGGAAGAGGTGCGCGCGTGCGTGCCGCCGACGACATGGAGGCATCAAAGATCTGTGTCAGCATTGCTGCATTGTCGTGAAATTCGTATGTTAACGATCCGCGTCCTCTACTTGTTTGGTTGTATCTTGTTTCTCATCCTCGCCTGCTTGTTGCTCCGGTGATAACTTAGTTCTTCCATTTTGTTTTGTATGTTGTCGTTCGTGTTCATTCTCGTCCGTTTTTAAAACAAAGTAGTACAGTAGGTGTCCCGATATAGTGCCGGTATGTGTCCAGGCGATTTGACCGGCACTATTCAGGGCCCGAAAATCCCTCTATAGTGCCGGCTTGGCACTATTCAGGACTGTTGATTTCAGAGTGCAGCGCTTGCGCTTTGCGGGGCTGGCAGAATACCAAACGAACGGTATTTGGATCAATCGTTAGGTGGGCGGCGTGGGCGGGCTTCACTATGAAGTTTCGTGAGGCTCTTGGACTGTCGAAAACACGGCATCGGTCACATTAAAATGAACTTGATTGACCAGATAGATTTTTTGCACAGCAGATGTTCGTTTCCCACCTCAGCGCAAGTTCGCCTCGCTATCAAATTATTATGTGTTGTATTGCAAGAAGGCCGTAGCACTATTGTCCTCCAGGCAACCTCGAAGGCACCCCGGACAGCGAAAGAAAGACGCACATGCATGCATCCGGTGTACATTTGGAGGTTAATCATGAATGCAGTGCTCCTTACATTAGCACACAAAAATAGCAGATGAGACCTAAAAAAGGGGTGAAGAAGATAACGAACTCCCCTGTTCCTTCGATAAAAAGCTAGAGAGAAGACCAAGCCTTCAGAAGCAAGAAGAACGACTGGCCAACCAAAAGACGTCGTCTCAGTGCGTTCACAAACAGAAAATTTTTGCTCAAGGACGTGAGCGGGTGTCATGGAGAAGGCTGAGCTATTCTCTGGATGAAAGATAGAAATTGTAGCAACCGAGAGAGGAGAACTACGGTACTGCCAAGGTTTACTACTTTTGAACATGCGTTTGTTCGGAGTGTTTTCATCCTTCCTTAGGTGGTTTGTTATAAGGTTCGGAAATCCTGTTCAAAAGTGCGCATTTTCCCAATCGGAAAATAAGAACGTGTGTCGGACAAGACGCTTCTTATAGTGCAATCGTTTTTTTTTGCACTGCTGGCCATGGAATAAGTAGCCGTTGGTTTTCTCCACTCTTGTTGCGTGTAGGTATAGGTATGATGATGCGTCTCTTGGCGGGTCTGCACAAGCGGTGCGTGCGTCAGCTAGCCAACATTTTGCTTTGAGCGCACCTGACCACCCGCCACCCACATATCAACGGCTGGGATGGCAGCATAGTGCTCCGAGGGTTGCTTGGAGCCCTTGACGGGCTCGCTACGACCAGGACTTGCTGCGCAATCGATGGTTGTGTCCGTCTGATGTACAGTTCCAAACGCGAAAAACAAACGTGTCATCCGATCAAAAATTGTCATCATTTTCAAGCGCATGACCGGTTGAAAACGTGAACTCAAATATGTGCAGTCGGAAAAGTGTCATTTCTGATCTTATAAGAAACAGTTTTTTTGTCCGGAATCAGAAATTACACATTTTTGATCGACCAAAAACGATCTACAAGAAATCGCCTTGGAGGCATTTTATTTACCACCACTACTACACTCGTCACTAATATCTTTCCACTCTTTTTCGGGCTTTCATCTCTGGATTCTGCGCCCCTGCGGCGTTTGGTGTGAGGAAGGTCATCTCGCTCGAAACTCTTTTTGTTGCCCTCAACGCCATATTTTCCTCCTGCATCATCACTGCAATCCTTGGCTATAGTTTCCATATCCATCCTTCGTCGTTACCACCATCATCTTTTTTTTCGCTCGCCTCCCTACTGAAATCCCAGCCTATTGGTGGAACCTAGTCGATCGGTAAACCGTGACATTTGAAGACGTCACGCGTACCGAGAGGAACCGAGCTATACTTGTAGCTCGAAGGGAAACCGTCTCCGAACCCTGTTGGCGTGGAAGGCTTGAGGCGAAAAAAGGCTGTGTGTGGGGTGTGAACCGGCACTATTGAGGGGCTCGATAGTGCCTGAACCGGCACTATAGCGGGCAGCCCTCAATAGTGCCGGTTTGGCACTTTTCAGGCCTGTGTCTGTCAAGAAAACTTACCGGCACTATACCGGACTTTGGCAATATTCAACCGGCACTATACCGGGACACCTACTGTTAAGTAGTTTTTCGCAGTTGCTGTCCTGACCGAAAGCTAAGAGTTGAGCAACCGCCGAAATCTCGACCATCGCACACATCTGTTCTACTTGTAAAAATAAATTGGCCTTGAACATAAGTCACGCACACGAGACTACGTACTACGTCGATCGCCCGCGCCACCACTGCTTCGTCTACTTCTGTGTGGGCGAAATCGCCACAGGTTGACCTGTTGGAGGAGGAGCGAAGGGCCATCACCACCGTTGGCTCAGATAGGGAGCAACGACCAATCAATGCCAATGTGCTTTGCGTAGTTGCAAAGTTCCCCCTTGCCCCCGACTATGCCCCTCCCCAAGAATATTGTCGGAAAACTCAGCCACGTGCCCCACACACCCTGCTTCACGCGGAACTCTTTCTCCGCAAGGAGCAAAATCCTGCAAATTGTCGCGATCTTTAACGTGATTGGTCTTCAAATGAGTGTCCTGCCGCTTTGGAGTAGGAAAAGAGACGTGCAACTCGATCCAAATGTCCTTCATGCTTTCCTCGATTTACAAAGCATTTCCATCCTTCAGTTGATGTCTACAGATCCAAGCGTCTGTATGAAATGCAAAGTTCTACAGAGGGCGAGCCTTTTTATTACAGCGCTGGCAGACTTGTCTTATCATTGGTGGAGGATGTTGACGGGCGTTGCTTTGTCGGATAGCGACTGAGATTATATCCACATGCACAGTTGCTACACAGCAGATGGTGCAACAAAGTGCCCGGACGTGTGGACACCTTGCAACAGATATCGATTCGCGGAGCTCGTTGTTTCAAGGCGGGAGTACAGCGAGGAGCTATTGTTGCAGGTGTCCGTCTGCCTTCTAGAAGCGTCGACATGACACCGCTGGATGCTGACGACAACGGCAACATAAAGGTGTGCGTGTCCTCTTCGATCTCGATAGTTGTGCCGACTCCTACTGCTGATTCTGCTGGTCGAGCTTCTGCAGAATGTGTCACCTCGATGTCGGAGCTTGCCACCAGGGCAAAATAAATGAACGATTTGGCGGCTATCTTTTGCGGAAAGAATGCGCACACCGGCGAAATATACTATCCGCTGTCGATGTAGCACCACTGCCTTGTATACAAAGTGCCAGGATAGTTTTGTGGCGGCAAGCATTGCGGCTGACCACCGGATTGGTTTCTCTCCTTAAGCGATATTCAGCACGAAAGCGTGGGTGCCGCGGGTAGACGTTCGTTTTCGATGGCAAAGACGCCCACCAACACTCGGAGTTCGCCCTGTGTTCAGGCTCGGTACAAGCTGCAGGTTCCAGTGCATTGTGTTACGGACGATAATAGTGCCGCTGCTGCCCCTGCTGGCTCCTGCTCCAGGAAAGGATAAAGCCGAGTCGATCGTTTCACTTCTTTCTAGTAATGACGAAGTCAGGTAATCTCTCCCCCTCTCTCCACAGCCTCTGTAAAGGAATACCGAAGCACCGGAGGGCTAGCCCGCATTGTCCGTTAGGAGGGTCGCGAAATGGGACCGGCAGTATTTTTCGCAATAAACGCAGCGGGGAATTGAAAGTTGCACGTGCTAGAAGTAAAACATCCCGGGACGCGCCGGTTGCGTCGGGCGACCGAGAGAGCACGGAAATAACCGCTTGAAGACGCAATAGTTTTGAACACAGGTAACCTCACAAGATTTTTGTTCGTCCTCCATGATCCCCTTTTGTCTCGCTTCCCCTCTCCCCAATATTATGCGCCTCTTTCGTTTGTTGTGCTGTGCAAAAACGTTCATCTGTAGTCGCAAAGGCGGGTCTCCCTGCAGTCAGGCGCCACCTCGTCCGGTATGCCGAGCTTGCACGAAATGGGAGCGGACGCGCACGCCGCAGACACCCCACCTGCCGGCGATACGATAGTCGAAGAGGGCACCGCAGCCGTTACATGGGTGAGCGGAAGAGGGTCGGACGCCCCCTCTCACCTGGTCAACAAGGACTGCCAGGGCGAACGGAAACACGGACTAGGAGACGTCTACGCGGATGGTTCGGAGGAAGACGAGGATGAGGCCACCACTCTGCTGGGATCTCACCATGGGAAGGAGCAGTTAGGACTGTCAGTGTTCGACTTCTTCAAGCTTGTGAGCATGCTGTGTACCGCAAGGTTGGGGCTGGAATGGGTGGGGGAGAAGTAGATTTTCATGTATATCCTGATTCAGAGTTCAACCGGCGGGCTTGTGTTGTTATACGCCGCTTAGGCCGCAGCTTTGCCCCGCGTGCATGCTCCTGTTCGGCCAGCGATGCACGCCCGCCATGTCAATGAGCCCTGTTCGAGAATCCAAGCAGTTCTGCTTGTATCAGTCTAGGCATTGCTTTCTCACCCTGTTTTCTGGTGGTTCCAAGAGCTGGTTACTAGCCTCGATGGTTTGTGCGTTGGTTGTCTGGCTGATGGGCTGGCTTGGTGGCTATCCACTCCCATCGTCCAGGTGACGCTAGCGTCGGCCCTCTACAAGGCCATCATTACTTGGGCCGCCTCTTACGACCGGGACACGGGACACATCTGCCCATCAGAGTGAGAGCCTTCACGTAGTGGGGCATTCGCAGTCGAGATGCATATGGTGCGAGTAGATTGAGTTCCACGGCGTGAGAGTCACGTTTGTAATGCTGAATACCTACTGTAAGGAGCGGGAGGCATCAGAGAGATCATTTTCATGGCGGTGTGACGAGGATATCACTGTACTCCGATACGGGGTGTTGACGTGGTGCGGGCACGTCTTGGACTATTTTTGTGGGTCTCGTTCGAAAGGAGAGCAAGTTGCGGGTCTCGGTTGTTCGTTCCTTGTGGGTGGGCCATGTGACATGTTCACCTGAAGGTACCATGGATTTTGGTGGGTTTCACGGCAACTGTTTGAGTTCGCGCGATGCGATGTAGTGGCTACAACTGATTTGTTGCTGTGTTGCTGTGTGTAGGAAACGAACATCGGTTTCCTCTCACGCAGAACCCTCCCCCCCCCCCCCCCCCCCCCCCCCCCCCCCCCCCCCCCNCCCCCCCCCGTTTCAAATGACCCCAATGGTGCCCTCACGCTACCAGCGTCATCTGCGCCACGACGCTGCCCGAGAAGGTTATGTTGACCGGGTCCCGTTTCCTTGCGGGCCTCCTGTACGCTAGCCTGTCGGTGTCCGTCGTCTCCAAGTGCTACGCGTCGCGAGCGTACCTCCACCACTCTTGGCTTGGCACCGTGCTCGACTTCGAGCCCGCCCACGATCTGCACACGTGTGAGTTGATCTGGTCGTTGTCGGCGGCGGCGTTGGTGCCATCATCGGTCGGTGGTAGTATCATCATCTTGAAGGTGGTCGTAGTCCCGTTGACAATGTTGTGGTGGTTGCTGCTGTTGGCGGTGGCAGTGGCGATGTGGGTGATGGTGGTACTACCCTCACAATCCACCCTATCCCACCTCACGTACATTGTACCTGGACCGATGGCGCAAGTTGTCGTGCTTGCGTTTGGATTTTTCTTCTATCGGAGGTTTGCGCGAAAATAGTCTTCGACGTTCACTATTGGCCTTGTACGAGCCGTGCTTGTTCTTTCTGAACTGTTTCGAGGGATCAACGACCGTGAGGGAGGTTGAGTAAACCACCAGCTTGTAGAGGACTCTCAAAAAAAGCTGCAGGTTGCAAGATCGTTTGCCAACTCTGTCTGTCGAGGCGACGTCCGTCATTTCAAAGTTGTCTACAGGGGGTTACCGCCCCCCCGGTGTTTGCGATTAGGGTTGGGTTTTCGTCGCTTGGCAGCAATGTTGTATAAGAAGCCTATCACTTCGTGAGCTCTGCAACCAGAGGTACCGTTTTTTTTTGCCTGTTTTTTTTTTTCGGTAACCATGAATGGTGGTCGAGTAGATTATGTTGTGCAGGGTCGAGAACCCCCACTCCGCGCAAGGGGGATGATCGCACCACGTTGTGTTAAATTGGGCAAGCACCCTCGAGGTAGTTACACAATACTTACAACTGTCTCAGGAAGTGAAAGCACCAGAAAATAAATTAGGTGTCATACGCAGCTGTCATCCGTACCCAAGAAATTAAGTGCCAAACACCCTTAGCACGATGCAGCGCACCCTTCATGCGACTCGCCGAATACCTGACGGCGCTTCGCGCTTGGTGATGTGAGAGCCTGGTCCGGTGAGAACCCCGGCGTGCTCCGTCCCGACTTTGTAAGGATGCGAGGTCAATGGTCTAACGACTACGGCATGCACGACTATAAGTACACCCCCCATCCCAACCACCGGAAGTTCATTCCTCCAGCCGTACACCGTTTATAAGTGTCTTCGCGGCGCTAACATCAACTGTAATTTTACCTATCCCGCCCGCCCCCCCCCGCCATGCGGGCTTGCTTCTCTTTCTCTTTACATATCTCACGAACTCCGATCGTCACATGGAATCTTTTCGCCTTGAATATCGGATTGGGAACAGACTTCGGCTTTCTGACCCTCGTGGCCGGCTGGGCGCACGGGGTGCTTCATCTCGCCCGGGTGAGTGCGGAATCCTGTGCTTGTGTGCGTCTATTTTTAGTGAACATCGGCCGCGCGCACCAGACAGACAAAGAAAAGCGTGGTGATGGAATACGCGCGAGATAGAGGAAAAACAAGACGGGGAGCGAGAAAGGGGGCTAGATGGAAGACGGACACGTAGGAGGGGAGTGAAGAGAGGCCTAGGGATGACTGCTTTTTGGCCCATTTCGCATCTTCACGTGGCAGGAAGCCAAGAGTATGAAAGTTCATGGTAACGGCACTCGAGGAAGAAACGGCTAACCCTCCTCGCTTTTTGAGCATGATGCCAAGTGAGAGAATCGCATGGGTAGCCTCGTAAACTTGAAAACAAACTTGTGATTTACTTGGAAGTAGTACGGCTGCTTGCAGTCTTGCCCTACCTTTTGACCAGCCTCTATCGGTTGAGAAATTCCGACTAGGGGGGAGTACGCAACAGCATTCCTCTCGTGCCATGGCTGGTTGTTTACACCATCATCCTGAAAAGAGCCTTCAAGAAAAACTGCCACCAAGCGCTCCCCCACCGAACCTCTTCAGTAGTCACTGTGGGCGACGACGCTAGAGATGAGACGAAGCAATAACCACGGGCATTGAGACAGCAGAGGCAGGACGCGAGGTACGAACAGACGCATCGCGGGAGGAATTGTTCCGCCAGGGAGAGAGGCTTGCATTGATTTTCTGCCCCATCACGCTCTCCCATCTTGTAGGTAAGCTACGCGGGTGAGAAGTTTCTCATGTACGAAACGCACGCCTTCCGATCGGGAATATTTGCCATACTGGTGCTGCTGCCCATCGTGCTACCCATGAGGTTCAGCTTCTTCCGGAATAAGGTGAGGGTTTTGTACATATTTCCAGAGAAACGCGGCCCTTCTTGTGTTTGACTTTCTTTTTTTGAGGTCCCTACTGGCTGTGTTTCCACCTGGGTACGGCGCGGTGCGGCCGGGTACACAGAGCGGATTAGAGCACGGAAGATGATTTTGAAGGGCTGTGACTGACGAGTCGTTGGAGTGTTGCAGCTAGAAACCCAAATGAAGGGAAAACTGTCGTCAACGGCAGTATTAGCTTCAGGGAACGCTGTTCGACACACGCACGATGCGAGAATAAGAACGCCATCCAAACTTGAGTAAGTGAGGAGACATAACTGCCTTTCGTGTTCTCTCTCAACAATTTTCTGCCATCCGGAATTTCCTTGCCAAATTCGCCTCCCGTACCCCTCCCGTCCCCCGGTTTCCCCCAGGACTACGGGTAGAGACCAAAAAAAGTTGGCTTGTCCTGTCCCTGTCTGCGACTACTTATATTTATACTTCGAAGTAAGTATTTGAGCTTTGCTCATGACGGAAACTGCTGGGCCTCATACCCGTCGCGACGGTTGCCCCTGCAGATGACGTTCCAGATCCGCAAGAGGATGCACATGCTCTTCCTCGCCATGCTGGTGGCGCTCTGCTTCCACAGTGTCGTCTTTCGATACGTTGCGTCCATCCTGCTCTTGTGGTACCTGATCGATAACTTCTACTTCATCACCAAGCAGTGAGTCGCGAATTGGGCGATGGGTGGTCCGTGCGTCATGGTTTGTTGCTGCCGAGAGTATGGTGTTGGTGCTGCTGTTTCAATGTGGGTGATGGTGGTTTTTGGTTGTTTGTGAGCGTCCCGGACAGGATGAACGAAGAATCTTCCGTGTCCGGCGGGCAGGGTGAAGCACCTGGTCTGGTCGTACGTGCCCATCAGCACGCACAAACCAGGCATTCCAAACAGCAGTGAAACAAGTCCTGCTTACATGAACCCAACCATGTCGCCGGAATGGTTCAATGTCTATGTGCATACTCATCGACGATTGCGGGGTAACTGCTTGGTCCTCGGGGAACAGACTTGCTGTAGCGCGAGGCATGGGGAGTACTCCATGTATACGTTGGACGGGACAGGAGGTACGGAGTATGTGATCGCTATGCCCCCCCGCTGAATTTCCCAATGAGCTGGGTGGCTGTGCGCTTGTCCGTCAAATCAGATCGCTCACCTGGACAGTTTTGCAGCTATAAATGTTGGTGCATACAAGGCTTGCCTCTCGCTCACGACCGGCTAGACACACACGCGCGGAATACGGAGGATTTCGAGTCCTTGTTGTGTCGACCCAATCAATTCTGCCGGTTTGTCCTCGCCGTGCAACCTGTGCCTTTTTCCTGCGTGCAAGCATGTCCAGCTAACCCCTCCCCCCGAAAATGACAATATCTACACTTGTCGAACGACTGATACGTTGTCCACAGGACATTTTTGGTGTCTCACCCCACCTACGAGGCCATCGGGAGGGGCACGATGGTTGGTATCGACCTTCCAGAGTGAGTGATGAAGAAAGAATACAACAAATAGGCAGCACTAATCTCGGTTCGACAGTACGTAAATCAGCTGCAGCGTCGCGATTCAAAACCACCAGTAGGACGGGCTCTGGCGATCGGTGCTATTCCATTTGGTAGCTTATTGGACTCGGAGCGAAAGGAACACTACGGCAAAATGTACAGAATATGTCCAAACGAGTAGCGAGTGACGGGAGTTGCGCCGGTATGACGCAAGCCGCGCTGTGGCACCATTCCTGGCTGTTGCTGCCATGCCAAGTGACTGCTAGATCCCTCTCGTTTGGAGATCAAGCATATACCTAGCGAGCGATTCACTCCAGCTACACCTCCTTTGCCTTGAGTTGCCAGTAAGAGAGTCGACTGTTATTTATTTTGTTTCGCCCACCTCTCGCTCTCTCTGCCCCCTTCCCCTCCCCATCTCATGCGCATGTCTATGTCTCTTTCTCTAGCTCGTCCGAATTCCACCCGAAAAGCAATCGCCCCTGCTTTGCTACCTCCTTTTGCAACCTGGCCGTATCACGTTGGCACCACGAGGTTCTCCTTGAATTGTTGCCGGATTTATGTCGTCGCACACATGCAGTCGTGTTCACCTTCACACATGGGAAAGAAAGCGCGTGAAATTCACAGTATGACACATTTCCCCTTCTTTCACGCCTTGTTTCCTCCTGCCTCATTCTACTGCTGTTCTTCCCTCGCTTCTCAGAGGGTACACCTTCAAGGCAGGTTCGTACATCTACGTGAACTGCCCCGCCATCGACCGCGCAGAGTGGCACCCTTTCTCCCTCATCCCCGTCCCCGGTGTCGCGTCAAGGGCGGCGTTTTACGCGGAGGCGGTAAGCAGGCTCTGAAACTCTCGGGTGTGTTTGTGTCGCTTGTGCTACATTCAGCCCTTCCTCTGAACGCTCGTATGCAGAAGGTCATGAAGGCGGCCTGGTGCCTCCACGAAATAAACTTAACGCTGCCGAGGAGGGAAGCCATGCGGATCGAGAGAGCGAGAGCGAGACAGACAGACAGACAGACAGACAGAGACAGAGAAACAGGCACAGAGAGAGAAACAGACACACAGAGAGAGAGGCGGACAAAGTGAAGCAACAAAGATGGGCAATCCTCAATAGTTGCGGACGAATCTAACCTACGAGGAGGCGGTGGCAGGGTCCCCAGGGATGATTGAGCGAGGAACTTTCGTCCCACATCGCCCCTCGTCCCCCCTCGTCCACTCGTTGGTTTATGCGGTCGTTGTCGTCCTCGTCGGCCTGTCCGGCCGTACATGCGGAGAGAGCAGGTTGGCGACTGGACGAAAGATCTTTTCCGCCTCGGGCTAGCGAACCCCTCCCAACCTCTGTGGATCACCGCGGCGCAGCCTAGCCTCATCGAGACGACTCTATTTTACGACAACGGTAAGCACCAAGTATATGCAGCATGAAAAAGGATCAAATAAAAAACGGTAGAAGGTTGACATTCGTATCGAAACGCGGATTCACTAAAATCACATGATGAACGTTTTCAGACGACTATGTCCACGCGACCCCCCTCCTCTCACCCCCCCCCCCCCCCCC